AATGTAGTTTTCTTGTTAATACTCTAAGAATAACTACCCAGCTAGGTAGCCCTAGAAGTGAGGAAAAAGTAAAGTTTACTATAGTCTATAACACACTAACTACGCTAGAAGTATCTAAGACACGGCTTAACGATAAGCCTAGAATAGTATGATATAATATAACGCTTAAAGAAAATTACGTGATAGCCTTAAATGCTTAAATACTAGAATAAACACCTAACTAGCGTATTAAGGGCTAAGGCTAACCTAAACTTAGCTTAAACTTATTATTACACACGCTTTAATAAACTACTATTAAAATAGCTAGTTTAATAGGTACCTTTAACTTATATAATTTAAAATACGCTTTATATAATTACAGATTATAATAAAGAAGAATAACTTAAAATAAAAGTAAGAGGGTTTTTCTTTTTATATAACACTTAAATTACATGTAAAAGTACTAGAATAGCTTATAATAGCTCTAGGGTACTTAATAATAATAATAATAATAGAGAATAACTTAAATAAATATCTTTTACCTAATAATTAAATATACTAGTATTACCCCCTTAATACCTTAACACTTTACGTCTTTAATTTATTATATAATAAAAGTATTCTTAAGCATTTAATTAATTTAGGAAAAAAATACTCTTTGATAATGAATTAATATAAAAACGCCACTAATAATAGCGGTCACAACTAGTAATAGCAGCCATAGTAAAGGCGATGGCAGGCCAGAGCTCGCCGCAAGCGGCCCCCAGCAGGTCCCCAAAGGGTGTAATAAAGCAGGCTTAGTAGTCTACTTGACATATGTATAAAGTTAAGTAGTTACTCTCGCCCGCTTTGCCTACCCCTAGGACAACTCGCTCGTTGGCATTAGGGTCTTGTATCCGGACAAGAGATTATCATCAAGCTTGAATCCGTCCAGGCCAAGCACCCCCAGCTTAAGTACGAAGCCCGCGTTTACAAGTCTCTGGCTGGCGGTCTCGGTATCCCGCTTGTCCGTTGGTTCGGTGCCGAGCGTGACTACCATGCTAAGAAAGTTCTCGCTGAAGACCCGTTCTTCTCCTCGCCGATCAGCTCATCTCCCGAATCGAGTACATTCACGCGAGGTCTTTTATCCACCGTGATATCAAGACAGACAATTTCGTCATGGGCATCGGCAAGCGTGGCAACCAAGTCAACGTTATGAATTTCGGCCTTACCAAGAAGTACCGGGAGCCCAAGGCTCATGTCCACATTCCTTATTGCGAGAATAAGAGCATGACTGGCACTGCCTGGTATGCTTCCATCAACACTCATTTAGGTATTGAATAGTCCCGCCGTGATGATCTGGAAGCTCTCGGCTACGTCATGCTCTACTTCTGCCGCGGCTCGCTCCCCTGGCAGGGTTTGAAGGCTGCTACGACGAAACAGAAGTATGACCGCATTATGGAGAAGAAGATGAATACCCCTACCGAGATTCTGTGCCACGGCATCCCCGATGAGTTTGCCATGAAGTGATAAGAAAGGACAAAAAGAGGGCAATCTGAAAAAGACCGACCGACCTAAAGTAAGTTGTATAGAGGCTAGTGGGCTTTTGGGGTGCTTGTTTTACACTTGGTAGCTAACATGCATAGAATATTCCGCCTCCTTCAACATGCGAAAATGCAAGTCATGCATGCAAGGCTTCGGCCTTCGTCCCGTGAAGTGCTGTGGGTGCACCATCTCAGTGGTCTTCAGGCGATGGAGATTTGGGAACAAGGGCATTACCGCAACATGATGCCAGAGTTGTACTCAAAGCAGGGGCTTCAGAGGGAGCTGCCATCGCCGATTCTTCCATCCAACAGCACGTTGTTTGCAGCGATGTGAATTGTGGCCTTCCACCTATATCTGGAGAGTACTGGCTCAGGTTGAGCTCTGCATCGAAAGGAAGTTCCGGCTCCGCCGCTGATGCTCATGTTGACACTGACCTCGTTTCGTCGTCCGCCGTTGATTAAAACACTGGGTATATGGCGGCAAAGATCGGGACTCATACCGACACCGTACACTCCAGCTTGCCCGTCGCAAACGGTTCAAGTCTTCAGGAGATGGAACTGGATCAACCCTATAAATTTCTCAGGCCCCTTGACTCTGGCACAACTTTGTGGGAGGATGCTTCAAGCACAAAAAGCGGCGCCCATATTGGACGATGTTTGTCGAAAGAAGGAGACTTTTCTGGACAGGTCGAAGGGCTAGCAATTTCATCTGGCCGTCAGAGTTGCCGACATTGTAGATAATTCTTGGGACGAGTTCTTCCCCAACGACCCGGACAAGGCCAAGGAGCTTACTACGAGTGCCAGTACTCCTGGCTTACAAGTTACTCCTGTGGATGAAGTCTTTGATCTCACAAGAAAGCGGAACGTTGGTGGCTCGAATCAAGCCAGCGAATTTGTTTGGGTGGCGGTGGATGTAGACTATCCTCTGGCCAAACGGAAAACGTGGAGTGGGCACAAGTCGAGTCGAGAGTTGGTAATACTGCCAAGTAATAGGGTGTAAAAACTCTACGAGTACCTAGTATAAGTAATTGATTCGTAGGTTTTAAAAAGTAATAAATATAAATTTACATAAATTTACAAGAGGAAAGGAGCAGTTATAATTATTTGTTCATAAGATTAAGCAAATACTCGCACCTCATATTATATCTTCACGGCCCTCGCTTACCTTAGCATCTTCTCTCTCTCCTTTCAGCTTATGGATACTCTTGCTGTTTCAGCCACCCGGGTGGGGTTGGGGGTTTGTTCATGCAACTCCATCGCTTTGCCAAATCGGTGTCGTCTGGTGTTTCAAATATACGTATTCGGGATCCGCGCCGGCTCTCCCGTCTCTGTTTTCGTAGGGATCAAGCCTTATGCCGTATCGTTCGTCGTGACTCGGCCAGCGGCTCGCATGACCTTGATCAACAAACCCCGACGGCGGGCTGCGCCTTGATCACGCTTGCTCATGGCGGCGCGTACTCGGTGGCAGTCGGGGAAGCTCACGCCGCGCGCCTCGAGCAAAGAGGATCAATGCTTCCTTGCAACTGCCAAACCCGCCAAGCACGACGGCGCAGAGAACACAATGACTGCTCTCATTGCAAAAAGAACATTTGAAGCAATCTTCGATCGATGCTGGTCCCACTTTTGATCCACGTCTTGACCTTAATCTTAGTTTCATTAGTCAGTTCCCAGGGCGCGAGTTAGGGTTAGGGTCAGCTGCGTACGTTTAGCTCCGTATTATTGCCTGGGATGCTGTACCATTCTCCTCCGTATCATAATATGCGGCATGACTATTGTGTCAAGGACTGTTGGATAATGCCGCGGACCCCTGGGTAGATCACGCTAGCCTCTGTCGCCCACACAAACAAACAAATGATTTGCAAGCAATCCACTTCCGTGTCGGTAACCCCTGACAGGGTTGGTTATTCATGATGCGTGTGAACTGCGGCGACGGGCCTAATCAGCTGAGTTTTGTGGCTCTTCTTTAGACTCCATGGGCGATAATCAGCCTGACGAGCCGGAGACTCAAGCAACTATGCTCTCATGAAGCTAGTGCATCCGACAATGTCACGCTTGGAAATGCGAAGCATGGATGAACCCTTTGCACGACAGACAAGGTTAGGGCAACTAGGTCTATTGCCATGATGATTTTGTGTATATTTAAGGAGCCCTTCCCTCGTCCTGTCAATGGTTTGTTCCGTCTTTAGACAAGCAGGCCCAAGAGACTCATTCCTTCTCAAACTCCGTTCTTTTCTCTCCTTTTTTTCAACTTTGATTTGGCGTGAACTGGGCTGCCGCCTCCTACTTTCTAGGACTTTTTTTTTTTTTTCAATACATTCCTTTTCCAAGTCTATCATCATGGTGATGCTGCCCCTTCTCGTCTCTGGCCTGATGGCCTCGGTTTCCGTAGCTGGTCCTATGGAGATAAGGGGCGTTGAGCATCATTGTGCTACCCGGAGTATCAGCCCGGAGGAGCGCGAGCTATTTACACGGCAGAGCAACCAGCCAGATGATGGACAGGAGATCAACTTGGGCTGTGTTTTGCATTTCTGCTGCAGCCAGGGAGGGGAATGCCCTCCGGTAAGCTTTCTGTCCAGACTTGAACAAACAGAATCCCGATGCTGACAGGCTGCCCATAGGACTCGGTCGCTGAAAAGACCGTTGAAGACATGAACGAGCTCTTCGCAGGTGGCAAAATCAGGTTTAACCTGCAAAACGTTTCGCGTATCAATGATCCACGCTGCACTGCCGGCGTGACTGATAACAGGTCCATGGACCAGTTGAAGTCCCAGGTCCATCAAGGCAATACGAGCACTCTCAATGTTGTCTATGTGCCGACAAACCAGGGCGCAGGAGTCAAGGGCATGTGCGTCGTGCCGCAACCCGGAATGGACATTGCCGCGGGTATCGGCGGCGCGGACGGATGCGTCGTCGCCATGGACACTCTGCCCAAGGACAATGGTGGCAACGGCGGCAACGCCGACAACGGCGGCAATGGTCGTCCAGGAGGAAATACAGGAAATGCAGGAGGTAGTGGACGGCCTGGAGGGCCATTCAGTCGACTCTTCAGTCGCCAGGGCCTCGGCGGCGGCGATGCCCACCTAAGCGGAGCGCTCATCACAACTATACATGAGACCGGCCACTGGCTTGGCGAGAATCATGTAGGCGGCGGTTTTCAGGGGGGGTTCTCTAGACGTCAAGGCGGCGGTAGCACCGGAAACGTTATGGAACCTGTGTCGATGTATGTTTCCCCTCACCTGAGAGTGTTCAAAGTGTACGACTAACTTGACGCCTTGTAGGCCAAACAAGCAGTATTCATTCAGTCAAGATCAATTTCAACGGATGCGTCGAATGGCATTTGCTCGTGTGAACGCCCAAAAAGCCCCTGTGGGTGACAATAATCGCCCTCCATTCGGGAACGGAGGGGATGGCGGTGACAATACAGGCCGCCCGGGGAAGCCCGGGAGACCCACTCAGCCCGGCCCCAATCCCGGCTCCAATCCCGGCCCCGGCTCCGACCGTCCTGGTCAAAACCCGCAGCGTCCTTCTCAGCCTACGCCCTTACCCGGAGACGATGGTCAAGACTTTCCCGGGGGCAACGGCTTCCCCGGAGGCAATAACCCAGGCTTCCCCGGCGGCAATAACCCAGGCTTCCCCGGCGGCAATAACCCAGGCTTCCCCGGCGGCAATAACCCAGGCTTCCCCGGCGGCAATAACCCAGGCTTCCCCGGCGGCAATAACCCAGGCTCCCCCGGCGGCAATAACCCAGGCTTCCCCGGCGGCAATAACCCAGGCTCCCCCGGCGGCAATAACCCAGGCTTCCCCGGCGGCAACGACCCAGCTCCCGGAGGTATTGACCCACAAGTCTGGGAAATTATTAATCAGGTCTATGGTGCTGACACTTCTGGCCTTGAAATCCATCGCATCGGTGCCCGTGCTGAGCCAGAGGCCGAAGCCGACGAGTCCGGTCTGGTGCACATTGCCCGGCGCGAGGGGACCGAGGGTGAGGCAGACGAGTCCGGGCTGGTTCACATTGCCCGGCGGGATGATGCGGGGGAACCAGATTTCTCCGGTTTGGTCCACATTGCTCGCAAGTAGATGAGATACATCTACATCTTGGGACGGGCGGCACTCGCACGGCTGCGCCGACTGACCTTGGCCTGCCATACGAGCAACACAGCTCATTTTAAGCACCATAGTTATTTCTTGTAGTATAGTATATTTGAATGCGATGCGGGACACAGTTTTACTCCTGATTTCAGTTATGAGAAGGCCTCGTCCTCCCTGTCGGCCCGCAAATGTGACTGCAAGCATTGAGAGGCAGCGCCCTAGGTCTCCACTGTGATCCATACAGGAGCTATGTCACCGCCTATATAACTCTTTGTTGATTTTCTAGTCGGGAAAGACGAGTCAAGAAGTAGTAGTGTTCTATAGCATGACTGGTGCTGCTTCGTCATTGGACAGCCCATCGTGGACTTGTAGACAGACAAGCTGAGCGCTGCACAATGGAGCGAAGGAGAGATGGAGACAGAGAGACAAAGTGAAGGAGCTGGGTTCGGACTTGGTCATACGCGGTGGCAGTGGTCGATCACGGGCACCAATTTGCAACGAGCGACTCTGTCAAGGTTGGCGTGATCGACATATTGAAGCTCAAAGTAGCACTCTTCGCCGCCACTTAAAATTTGGTTTCCACGCAGTTTTTCTCTTTCTTAGTTATACTGAGCTTCTTTGGGCTGCTATGGCGTACACGGCTACGAAGAACACCGTCTTGTCAAGTGTGTCGTTTTTGGGCCAACAAAGGTGACGAGACACGGAATGCTGATTCCGTGCTTTGCCCGAAAAGTAAGAAAAAAAAGGGACACGAGCCTACAGCTTCAGCTTCTTGACCGAGTTAACAAACTCGGAATATGCCTCTTGGCCATCTCTCTGGTCACCAGCCTCGCTGACAAGACTTTGCTCACCACCAGAATCATGGCCGGCCCCCGGCTTCACTTTGTCGGTGTACCAAAACACAGAATCATTCAAGCCGATCTTCAACCCGTAGTCCTTCAGCACTTGGAAGATCATCCCGCTCTGGCGGCGCATTGGATCAGAGCTCTCTGGCCAGTCGTCACAGTTGTACTGCCCACCTTCAATAGCCCTCTTCAGATCTGCCAACAAAAACATGGTCAGTTTTTCGCAAAACAGCCCCTTCACCCTTGTCGCAAACCGTCTGCACTCACCTGGTATCTTGCACGGGACAATAAGCTGCTCCTCTTCCCTATACAGAATCACATGCAGCTCGTCCACCTCGATTCGGTACAATAGCCTCATAATCACCACCGTGTTTTCAAAATGGCGCAGGTCTACGTCGCGCCGCTTCTCGCTCGGCACCTCCCACAGATCCATGTTGCTCTTCTGATTCTTCATTAGCAGCGCCGCCTGGTCGATGAGGCTGAACCTGTCGCCGTCAAGCGCCGACAAGTCCAAGTGCCGCCCCTTGGCGTCGATGAGGTACTGCACCGCATCCACGTTGCACGACTCCACGGCGAGGTGTAGTGCTGTCTTGCCTTGCCAGGGGCCGCCCTCCACGCGAAGGTTCAGATAGTCTGTGTCCGTCTTTTTGCGCAGAATGGCCTGGAGGATGTCCGTCGTGGCCATGTGGCCGTGCCTGTACTCTTGTATGTACACCACGGCTTGGAGGGCTGTGAGGCGCGAGCCCAGCAGGTCCATGACATTGTAATACACCTCATCGGGCGGATTTAAGCTGAGAAATGCGGCGATGTGAAGACTGGCGTTTCGGTACACCTTTGAGGTCGTGATGAGTCGTCCGAGGAGAGTTTTGCCGTCTTCCATTATTGTTAAATCGCATTTGCCTGTCTGGTAGAGCCATTTGGCGACTTTGTATTTGCCTGCCAAAAGTGCGTTCCCGTAGTGAGGAAACATGTCGAGGTTTGGATAGCGGTATTTGCGGAAGTGGTCGAGCATCTCGCCGTCGTCTGGCAGGGCTTGGTGGAGGCGAAGAACTTGTTCCAATGGTCCGGGTCAAGATCGTCTGCCTGCGAGTGATGGAGCAAGATGCCGAGCGTGGAATTGTCTTGCAGAGCAAGTGCGATCAGCACGCAATGGGACCAATCTGCCGCGGTAGGCTTGAACATCCCTCCTCGTGTTGTCATTAAGTGGTTGATGATATAAGGTTGGCCCCATTGGATAGCTGGTCGGATGACTGGCAAACCTTTCACGCTGATGTTGGATGGATCTGCTCCATACTGCAAAACAAGATCAAAAATTCGTTGGAACGCCTGGCAGAACCGTTTCCCATGTAGGAGTAGTCTGCGGATGCCGTGGCCCTCGCAACCATTCACCATCCAGCCGAGGATTTTGAATGGGTCTTTCGAACCTTGGGTACCGAAAGTGCGCTCATTGTAATTCAAATGCTCGGTACAATCGCCGGCTCTCTCTAGCAACATCTCCAATAGTCCATACTGGAAGCTCGCTGCCGCAGTCCAAGCGGGAGATATGTGAGCGTTGTTTGACCAGCTGTCCCCATATTCTGCTGTCCTCCCAGCAATATCGAATGGATCTGAACCAAGGTCGAGGAGCGCCTGGGTGGCTGCCTGGTTGTTGGCGGCCTCAGCCCAAGTCAACGGCGTCCCATCCACCATGCCAAAGGTTGCGTCGACGGCTAGTTTATACAGTCTGCATTTTTGGATCTGGCTGTAAGGCTAGCTTTGGCTTCTATCAGTCTGTCTGCTATAAGGGGAATCTGCTCTTCTTCAAAGGCGCTCAAAAAGTGTAATGGTGTCGCTCCGTCCTCGCTGCAGATTCATGCATCTGCATCTTGGTCAAGAAGACAGAGTACAACTTCGAAATGACCGGATCGGCAGGCCTTCAGTAAGAGCGTTTCATCACCCGGATACCGGCCATTGATGTCGATAATACTAGAATACTTGTTAAAAATGGTGCGCAATAGAGAAAGACGGCCGCATGTCGCAGCAATCTGAAGATAGTAGCCAACCAGACGAGGTTGGTCTTCAATAAGCCCAAGGAAACCTACATCGTCGTAAGTTTGCCAGTCACCAGGCAAATCGACTCCAATGCCTGCCCAGCAGCGTTTGAGGTCGTCAACTGCTATAGCATAGGCTTCTGGGTCAAGAGATTCCAGCCGTCGGCCGGCTGTTGCGCTTCCCTTGCAAACTGAATCGTGGAGCCATTCCAATTCGAGTTCTTCACTTACGGGAAATGGCCTGTCAAAAACAGAGTGAAGCCATCCACATATACTCTGTGCCTTCCAGTTTCCAAGATTTGCGGCCAAAAGCATTAACTCGAGAGCAGGACCAATATCGGGGTTGTTGACTTGGTCAACCTGTGCTGCCATGATCTGGAAAATGGAACATTGCCAAGCTGCTTCTGCCCGACGAGACTCGCTCTCCCTTTCATTGCACGCGACAGTCCGCATTTCACCTAGGATTTGGCTCAAGACACAGGCTAGCATGCAGCGCAAAGTGCCAAAAGAAGCTTCCGCCTAACCGCCTTCTTAGATGTTGATAGACTTGGCGGAATAGACAAAGGGGGTGGAGGATGCTCACCTCTACAACGGCAAAGGGATTGCGAATCTCGCGCATATTCTGTCGAGGAGGAGCCTCGCTCTGCGTCCTGTGGGAGCCATCAGACTATGAATATCCTGAAATGTGACTTCTAACATACCAAGCTTTAAGGGAAGTTGCAATACGATGTACGGCATCGGATTGTGAGGTGTCGTCTATACTTGGAAGATCACCATTTTTTGTATAGTTTTGATGGACCTTTCAAGCCATTCCATTGTAGTAGCATACATCCAGACTCTTTCTTTGTCCTCCTTTGCCGCAATGCCGCCTGATGCGCCTGATTCGCGAGTGCTCTACAACCGATTTGAAGCGGCGTACCTGGGTTTTGCAGCACATCCCTCTCCCGGTCGTTGAGCTTTGCAGCTTCCATACGCTCAGGGGTAAACGGGTTGTGGAGAGATAGAATCGGATACAACATGTCTCGTTCTAGTAGCCAGCTGAAACACGTCCTCATGTTTAGATGGATGCTCTTGGAACTGGGGCGTACGGAGGGTTCGAAAAGCGATGGGAGTAGAGTTCTTGCAACCGCTCGCTGCAGTTTACGGATCGACACGCAGCCTTCGCTTTTGTCAAATTTGTCCACCTCTTCGTTCGGATCGGGCCATCCCTCGGGCTTGCGAGACGACATAGGGCCGTATAACATCTCTTCCTCGATTTCTAGGGCGGAACCAAAGGTCTCATGTAGGGCCGGGCCTGAAAGGTAACTTTGGCGTAGAAGTCATAGCTGACAGCAGACTGCCTGTTTGTAGTAGCTTTTTCGTCGCTCTCCTTAAGTTCATGTAGAATGAGGCCTCTGCTAAGCATGTAACACAGAACGAGACCCGGGGAAAAGGTGTCTGCCTCGATAAGCTGGGACCCATCGAGGGCGTTTTGGCATTCAGGAGCTTGCCAAATATCGGTGTTATACGGGAGTACGATGGGCTCCTTGATGTCTGTTTTGAGTAACGAAGAGCCGAAATCAGTAATCTTGGCGATAAACCCCAGCCTTCGATGCTCAAATATCAAGACATTTTGTGGCTTAATATCTCCGTGAATGATGCCTAAGTCGTGCAATGCCGAGAGACCGCATGAGATGTCGACTGCCAACCCTAGAATTTTTCTCGTGGTCATCTTGTTCAAGGCGAACTGGGATGATTGTATCATACTGTACAAATCGGACTTTGCGGCTTCAAGAACAAAAGCAGGCATGTACGTTCCCCGCACACATCTCCAACTCAGTCCCAGCAATGTAATAATGTTATCATGGTCCTTTACATGTTCGTGTTTCAGAATCTGCAGCTCCATGGCCATGGAGGTCCAAAGTTTCTGGTTCCGTCTGTCATTCAGTTTGCCCCGTATCTTGGGACATTTAACAGCCACGGTCTGAGGTAAATTCGATGGAATGTCCTCTTTTGAACCCAGAAAGTCCGCATCTAAAATGTCCTTTGAACGTAGGATGTAGACCTCAAAGTATCCACCTTGGTTGACGGGAGCCGGCATGTGGAAGGACTGATCGTCTAAAACTGTGCCCAGTAATCGGAACGCAATACTTAGTGTCTGATGCGTGTGTACAAAGATCGATAACAAGGATAGAATGTCGTGCTCCCATTGAGCAAACCCCACATTGGAGCGCGATAGCTCTTGGGATGTCATGACAAGCAACCCGAGTCCCAAGTTGGTACGGCAACTAGTGAGGAATGATTTTGGTAGCGGTTTGAATACTAGCCATGAGATAGGGAACAGAACCAGCTTTTGAAGGCAAAAGCTCAAGGTCATGTGGCTGTTGCAAAGCATGTAAACCTGGTGGCTGCGGCTGATACGGAAATTGATCGAATACATGCAGAAATCAATAGTGCGTTTGCTCCGCCTCAGCTGAGCCATCGTCATCGCCTCATTGAACAGTGAGTACAAGTGCCACCCTACTTCATCTGTCGGATGTGTTGATTGCGCTCTCCTCGTTCCTTCTAAACAACGTTTCTGTTCACTGATAGTATGGCATGGCAAGTCGACCCCGTTGGTGTAGCTGGCACTGCTCTCGGCGCTACAAGCCTTCCTGCTCAGGTGTTTAAGGGAACAGTCAAAGCAATCCAGCTATAGCGCAGAGCTGGCGGGGTTGGTCAGGACGCTGCTGTCTTCCAGACCAGATTAGAATTGCAGCTGGCAAGATTCAAGAGCTGGGGAATCGATTGGGGGATTGATCGCGGCCCAGCCGGGCTTCACGTCAAGGATCGGCGCTTTCAAAACCATGGCGACACGGCGATCAAATACGTGGTGTTGATACATCACTTTATCGATCAACTAGACAGCCTAGTGTCGAGCAGTAATGCGATCAAGGCAGCTGCGCAATCGTCAGTCCTGCCCACGTCTTCAATAGAGCGGCTGGTAGACTTGGCGAGTCCCAACTCGGGGGAAAGACAGGCATTGTCGGACAAGATACAAAGTATCCAAGAAAACTCCGACTTGCAAGAGCAACTGTCCTGGGCAGTCAAGGATGGCGAGCCTCTCAAAGCCCTCGATCGGCTGGAGAAGTTTATCAACGACCTTGAGGGATTCTTCACTCCGCCAAAGGTCAACCCTGCAGCCAAGTTAGCGCTGAACAGCCTCCTGAGAACGATGAACTTGGCGAAATTGCAAATGATCACGGTACAGCTAGACGCAAACTCAGAATTACGGGGGGTCTCGCTCTACTGAAATCGGCAATCGTCGAGATGAATGCACGAGAATCCGTATTTGGAGGGGAGGACGTCACTGAAGACGAGGCCAATCTTCACGATACATCTGCGAGGGATGAAAAAGACGGTCGCAGCTTCGGCACTTTCGAGAAGGACGGCAGACATGACGTGTTGGTGAAGTGGAAAGAGGTTATTGGATCGGAATGCCCGCCCAATCATTCACTGTTCACGTACAAGGCCATGCTTTAGCACCGGATCGAAAATCTCGCAAGGTTACTAAAAGCAGAATACAAGCCAGTCGAACTTCGAACGTTGGACTGTATCGGCGTGGTCAAGAGGTACCGCCAGGTTGGTGATTTAGAGCACGGAATGTTATTCAAGGTTCCCGGTGAAACGTCCACGACACTCTCTGCGATTCTCGAAGACAGTGTCGATTCTTTAGACGCAGGAGAATGGTGTCAAGTAGCGACGACGCTCTGAAGAGCGGTCTTGTTTCTACATCTAGCAGGCTGGCTGCACAAGGGTATCCGGAGCGACAATATCATGCTTTTTGCAAAGCAGGGAGACCGGTTTGTATATGACAAGCTACCCCTTGTCGGGTTCGAGTACACCAGGGAGGCGTCCTCTGCTGGACAAACAGAAGGGGTGGATGATGACTTTCGATTCAACCTGTATCGACATCCGGAAGTCCAGGGGCTTCCAGCCCAAAACTCGAGGACCAATACGACCCCCGCGACGAGAACATCGTTTGACTATCGACACGATGTCTATAGCCTTGGCGTTGTACTCTTGGAACTGGGTCTCAAAGAAAGCGTCGAAACTATGCAGCAGATGGCTTCAGTTTTGGCTGGCTACGGTAGCCATACTACTGATGGCTTCCGTGAGTATCTGCTCCGCCACGAAGTTCCTAAGCTGTTATCGAGAATGGGCAAGGGTTACCGAGAGGCGGCGAGAATATGCGTTGAAGCGACGGGAGATGGAAGTATACACGAGGATTTCTATCTCAAGGTTGTTCGTGTCAACTAGAACATGGGGCAAGGCGACACCAAAATAGCGCCGTATCTAAGCCTCGGTAGAACTTGGCGCTCGGCGTGGCCGCAGGTACCTCGGCACCCCGTTTCTGTGGGAAAGTACTTCGGCATCGCGCGTGTCGGATGTCATCTGTACTAGAGGGCGGATTATATTAGCACCTAACTAGTAGTAGACAGAAACTCCCACTCAGAGACGCAGCCAGACACGCCGCGAGTCATTAATTAATGCGCCGTGAGGATTCGGCAGTGCGCCTTGCTGTCCCTGAGACGTCTTGCGTGGTGTTTTAATGCAGGCATGCATCCACGCACCCAGCGCCAGGCGGTGGCTTGTCAGGTTTGACATCAACTGGCGAAGTCGAGCAGGCGGCATTCGACATCACTCGAAGGTTTGTTAGCAGAGCTGAATTGGCCGGCTTGGAGACCGGGTTGGTATGAGGGGTGTTCAGAGTCACCTCCAGACGTCGAGAGAATTTCATCATGGGTAGACGGCAAGACCCAGCCAGACCCAGCCGGACCCAGATCTGGGACCCAAAAATAAACCGGTCGAGAGCCATCTCAAGAACCTAGCAATCTGGGGATGTTGGGAGCGGGTTGGAGGGTCATCTGGAGGCTAATTGTTCTTGTGATTGATTGCAAGGGACTCGAGGCCCACAATAAAATCTCCAACATTTGAACCTTCAATGCTTGAACACTCCAGGTCAGCATTTCAACGCCTGACTCCAGATGTCAGTGCTGCACGTGGCGTCGCGGCGTCGCGGCAACTGAATTTTTAGACCTGGATCGCTGTTGCCTCATCCCTGGCCGTGCTGGCCACCGCCCGTCCCCTTACGCTGGCCCCCTCGCTGGCCCCCTCGCCGACCCACTTTTGTTCGTCCTTTCACCTTTCTGCTGACCCTCCGATTTGACGGCTCGAAACTCGGCCTCTCCTAGTTGCAAAACCTTGCCAAACAATCCTCGGTGCAATAAACACATCTTTTCGCCATCCCGCACAACACCTCGCCATTTAACCCCTTTCACCTCCAGTTCATCTAGTCCAGCTTGCTCTTGCTGCTGTTTCTTTCGCTTTCCCGCCCTTCGTTCTTCCGTTGGACGACAGCCCTCCCTTGCGCAGACGCCTGTATTCCATCCACTGATACGACCCAAGTTGGGCTTCCGAAGAATCCTCGTGTATACGACATCACCACCAGCTTATCGCCCACGCCTCAACCCCCTCTCCCCGACCCGGCTTTCGTTGCAACCCCCGTGTCCGATGCAGCTCATGATTCCGGCTTAAAATAACCCACCCGCGGGCCGCACCACCTTGCCCATTGTCTTGCCCGCCGCATGCACTTTGCCGCATTCCAGCGCTGCTCGCACTTTATCTCCTAACGGCTTTCCCGTACCACGTTACAATTTCGCTCATGTTGCAACCACAATAATAAAAATCTCCGAAACCTTGAAATAAACGTCATATAATCGTCATTCCTCTCTCATCATCACTGTCGCTGTACGATAAACGTGGGCGTGGACTGTGCGCCCGACTGATTGCACCTCTTTGTCTTGTCTCTCCTCGTCGCTCTCTATCTCTCTCTCCACCGACTAGAGAATTCTCCCCCCTTACGTCCGGTTCGTTGATCTGCGTTGGCGTTCTGAGCGACTACTCCTCAACAGTTCCTTCAGTTGTTTCTTTTTTTTTTCTTTTTTGGGTCTCATTTTTCGTTTTATTGTTCAGGTTCGTATGCCCTTTGCTGTTGAATATGCCGCTCCCTCGACGCCACTTGCACCTGATCATGGTGTGGTCATTCGACTGCTCTAAGAGACCTCGTGCCTTCGGCCACCATGGCGTCAAGTTGATAGAAACAGAGGTGCTGACCCTGCTGTAATTTGCAGCTCTTGTAATATCCGTTTGTTAGCTCATCTGTCCGGCCGGCACCCTCCTCTTCCGTTGGAGACACTGAGACAGGTTTCGCCGACGACACCAACGACATGGCCAGAAAGTCGATTCCAGTCATGGAATGGGCCCAGGCCCACCACAGCGTCGTGTTTGATGACGATTACGAGCCTCGACATATTGCGCCTGCCCGCCGTGGAGAATCCGACCAGCGATTTCGAAGTCTAAGCATGTCACTGCCATGGAAGCGGCCCAAGCATTCGCTTTTCGGCCATGACGACATACGCGACCCAACGCACCATGTGAACGACGCTGCTATTGACGACTCACATGATGGACCTGAACATCTTCACGGGCCGACCCATGTTAAGCAGAGACGGGCTTCGGGAAGCCTCAAGGGCATCATTCGCCGTGCATCCATGTCTTTGAAAGGGATCGTCCATCGTCGGCCATCTGTTGCCGCAGCAGATGTAATCTACGAACAAGGCGCTTCAAATGAACGACCCACGACATCACACGGGCCCTGGAACCGCCTGGGACAAGCGGCAAACTTTCGCCATTCTCGCTCTTTCTACGATTTGGACCTATACCGTGATCCCAACAGGCACGTCCCCATCCCTGGGCTAGGCGATGAGCCACCCGTCATCCCTCATCACACGGGAGCGGCAGCCAAGGCATCGGCGGCTATGCAGAATGAGTACTTTGCCCGACAACGAGGGCTAAACCCTCCCTCTAGCGACGATGGAAATGACCGCGAGAGTGGTATAGGCATTGCAGTAACCAGGCCATCCGTGGACCTGGACAACGTCGAACAGGAAAGCGTTTTAGAACAGGATTCTCGCATTAGCCGTATCGATTTCGTTTCCGAATTACCCCCCGAGCTGGCTATTCACATCTTAGCCTGCTTGGATGCTCCGGCCTTGGCCAAGGCGAGTGCCGTGTCTCGTCAGTGGCATCACACTGTTTCGAACCAGCACATCTGGCGCGAGTCTTGCCTCAGAGAAATAACGGGTACTTATGCTACCAGTCGTCCTGTGCAACCAGGTGCTGGCATGGGCGTACCCCAGGTTCGCCTAGAGAATGACTGGAAGCAGATTTACAAGGTCAAGCTGGAGCTGAGCCAGCGGTGGAAGGAGGGCAAGGCCCGTCCAGTGTACTTGCATGGGCATACTGATAGTATCTATTGCCTGCAATTTGATGAGTGCGTTCATCCTTGCCCCCCTTTGCCTCTCCTTGAGGCACATAGTTTGCTAACCGGATACTAGATTCAAGATTGTGTCAGGCTCTCGGGACAAGACCATCCGAGTCTGGGACATGCACACGATGAATTGTAAGCTGGTTATTGGACCCCCAGAGGTCGTTAATAGCCCCCATTTGCTGGCGGACGAAGAAGGCAACCCAACCCACTATGCGGCAGGATCCGACAATGAGCAGACCGCCTTGTCACTGCCAAACACAGTTTCCTTCCCCGAGCACCACAAAGCTTCGATTTTGTGTTTGCAATATGACGATGAGATCCTGGTGACTGGCTCATCAGACTCTACGTGCATCGTATACGATGTCAAGGCTGGGTACCGACCAATTCGACGACTTCGACATCACACGGCGGCTGTTTTGGACCTGGCTTTTGACAAGAAGCACATTGTGACGTGCAGCAAGGACATTAGCATCTGCGTATGGGACAGAGAAACTGGTGCTTTACTTCGACAGCTCCGCGGCCACACTGGCCCCGTCAATGCCGTGCAAATGCGCGGCAACACGATTGTGTCTTGCTCTGGGGACTTTCGCGTGAAGCTGTGGAACATTGATACCGGCAAGAATATCCGCGAATTCGTCGGCCATACCAAGGGCCTAGCCTGCTCGCAGTTTTCCGAGGACGGCAGATTTGTGGCATCCGCCGGAAACGACAAGGTGATTCGCATTTGGGATGCCAACACGGGCGAGTGTGTTCGTGAAATGAAGGCGCACGAGAACTTGGTGCGCAGCCTGCACATAGACAGCGTGAGCGGCCGACTTGTCAGCGGCAGCTACGACTCCGACATCAAAGTGTGGGATATGGAAACGGGGAACCAGCTGCTCGACTTTCCCCGCTGGCACTCTAGCTGGGTGCTCAGCGCGAAGAGCGACTACCGCCGAATCGTCAGCACTGGCCAGGATCCCAAGATTCTCATTATGGACTTTGGTGCTGAAGTCGATGGCATCCAGCAGCTGGAAACCAGTGCGGCACAAGCCACTGACTAATTATTTCATGTTCCTACCATCTCGGGGCAGACATACAGGTTGCCAAAAAGCCGGTTAAAGGGAGTCGTTTCGGCGTATTATGTGTGACACAAGCCATAGGGTGTTGTCGGCACGAGCTTCTCGTAGCGAAACGGGCCGTCTTTGTCGCATCAAGTCTTTGTCTCGAGTCTAATGACTTGGTAAACCTTGTTTTGTTATATTGTTGTTATTTGAAATTGCATCGGGGCGTTCAGGGGGACATCAATATCGCATATTGTTAGCGAGATAGGCCGGCACCAAGCCCAATTAGCTGCGGTTTGGTTTCCTTTCTAGGCATCATCTTGGACACCACGGAGTTTGTTTCCCCCCACCAATTTTCTGGTCCTACTTTTAGCATAGATTCGGGTTAGCGGTTCAGACCGTGGTAACGCAGAAAAGGTCCAACCTAATAGATTATCATGCATTCGTCAGCAGCCCTGTACGAGCTGAGATTGTGAGACGGCACACAGCGGCCGAGATTCCCCGGACTGGAGTGGTACTTGATTCTTTGGGTCGGCGGTGCTTATTCTTTTTGTTGGTGTTGTTTTTTTGCCCTTGGTCATGCATCTGGCTGCGCAGGTGATGGTGTTCGCGTGGCTCGGGGTGGTAGTTTGTGTTGCACATGATTTTGGCAGGTGTGAGTGTGGGGTTATGCTTCTGCAATGGAACCTCAGGTGGCTCTCTTTTTCTTGATTGTGCGGGGGGGCGTCAAGTGATTGCTGCTGAGGAGTGCGCATATTGATCGGCGAGGTACCACGACCTACACTAGTATCTCGAGAGGTCAACTGGTATGTGACGGGGTGGTTCGGGGTGGTTGACTGTCACGGTGCATACCTGCCTACCTACCTAAGTACCTACTTAGGTACCTAGGTAGGCAGGTTGTAAGGCTTTTGACGGAGACGACTGAATGGGTGTAGTTGGGCATACTCCGTACATACGGAGGTACTTGATTGCAGTGGTGAGTCATGATGATGATGAGTGGTTGTGTTTGCTGCCGTTACGTCGTGGCCCGTTATTAAGTATGCTGGGGAGAGTTGTAGATTGCCTCCCGCCTGGCCCGAATTCACGTGTTGCTTCATGTTGCATTTGCGCAGATGCGGGGAACGCAGGGCAGATGCTACCAGACCAAGTTGACGCCCGCCTGGTGACCCATGTCACCGAGGAATTTACACGTCGATGCAGTTGACGTGTAGTTGCAACTGCCTGGGGGCTGGCTACTAGAGGAGCTCTCCTGGGCGTTCAGTTAGTGGCGAGCGCAATGCATTCGGGGGCTCTCTCGGGGCAGATGTGACTGGTCGGCCGTGACGCACATGTGTACACATCAACTTAAATTTATTGTGCCAAATGCGCGAGCGCAGCCGCAGCCCCAACCCTGGTGAGATGCAGATTATGCACACGCCCCTCGCGAGATCGAGGGGGTGAAGTGCTGGTTGGCCCAAAGCGCCTAGTGGTCGAAACAATGGCGTTTCGAAACCACGCAAAGCTCCCCAGGCGCTTGCTGGGTGCGTTGTGTGCGTGCGTGCGCCTGCTATCCTCACGACTCCCTTTGTCGAGTTGAACAAGGCCTCAGACAAGGAGGGTTGGCACGCGAGTGGCAGACACGGTGGGAAACAGCACTACTCACTTATACTCCGTATTGGGTTGGCACTTGCCGGAGTATGGGAATGGTTAGATACTTGCAGTGCTAAGCCGTGCAGCGAGGCGGAATCCCGGCCATGCTGTGATCGTCTCATATCGTCGTGGCGAGTCAGGGGCTATTTTTTCGTGTGCAGACGACGGGAGGAAATTAGGAGCCAAGAAGTTCTGCAGTCCAAGCTGTTCAGGTGAAAATAGATTAGATTCCAGGGCAGACGTGGCGATGCAAATGTGTGTTTATGCCAGGACTACGCACATGCTTGTTCTGTTATGCATCAGCGGCTATCAATTCCAGCGACAGCTGGGAGGGATGGATCGTCGTCTAGCTTCGATTGGCGATTGGGGTTCCTGGCTCCCGGCAGAAAGCACTTCGATCAGCATTGTGTAGATGGCGGCGGCAGAAGCTTGCGCCTAATGGCACCGGACCGGCGGGTATGTGGCCTGCTGTTCCTTCGTGTGGTGGGTGACTGGAACGGTTGCTGACTGGACGCTCCATCTCGCCGTGCAGCACAAAGCGCAGAGGGCGGGAGTAGAGAAAATACCGGGTCTAGTCTTTTGCTCATCCACCATCTTGACCCGGGAACGCATCGGTTTCTACCGGTGAAATACGTAGCACGAGCCTTCTCCCTTTGCACATGCCAAGTCGTCCGTGGCGCTCTCAAATAATTATGTAAGAATTGATGGAGTATTACTTCGTATGCACGGAGTATTCCGTACTCCATAATCCGTGGTAATACCACGTCGAGCGCATCTTTGATACATACCTACCTAGGTACCTATGTGGACTTGATTTTTGGTATGCCTTCTCCGCTCAGTGCGGGCATCAGCATCACGCGCAAAATGCCCTCGAGAAGAATTATATACCTAGGTACATACTCTGTACTCCGTACACGTCATGAAATGAAATACCCTTGCCGTGGGTTGGTGGCCCTCCCTTGGCCTCCTCTAGTACAACAAATCAAATACACGGAGTCTTCCACTCAACGCTCCCCAAACCAGATCCAAAGGGGGACCGAAACGAGCAATTCGGGGATACTTCCATATATATGCTGGGACAACCGAGCAGAGAGCTTGTTTTCGCCTGTCATGGTCTCCCAGTGTCACCGCGCAAGCTGCGATGATACAAAATATCCTGGCCCAATTGCTAGTCTCACAGCTGGCAGATGCAGCCGACGCCACAAGCCATCAACTCATGCCTGGAACGCGGACCCTTCCCGTCGTGGTTTTTGAGAGATGGACTGATTGGATGGCCACGCACGCCACAGTCCAAGAAAAAAGCATCTTCCTGGACCCCAAGTTGCCTGGGCCACGGAATCAATCCGGGACAGCGAGTGCATGTGCGCTTAATCAAACAAAGGCGATGCCCAAAAGTCTCCAATGGCTCAAGGCTCCTGGATCTTTGGAGAGTTAGAGTTGAATTCAGCGACAGCCATTCCTCGGTGTCGGAACAGCCAATGGTGTCGCTCCGTGCCTGACAGACCCATGCCAGAATGTCCCCAAGAGCCCCACTTCCCGCGGGCAACCTCCTGTCTGAGAGTATGGCTCCGCCAAGGCGGCCAGGCCTGGGACCATCCGGCATTGAGTCTGGTCCATGCTTAGGACCCTTGGTGGGAGCCCTGGTCAGCAATGATGAGCACTGGTGAGCACGAGAATGCATACCGGTGAGCACTGATGAGCCCTTGGTTGACTGCCCTTCATCCTGGCCAAGGCAACCCTGCACAGTCTGGGTTTGAAAATCATGCGTTCTTTGCCGCTCTTATTATATACTTGATATATATGAAGTCCTGCCCGTAAAATACCCATGGACTATTACTCCGTGCACTTTCGCATTATGTACACGCTTCATTTCTTGGCCATGGACGAATGAGATGCGAGCACAGGAACCGCCGGTTTTTTTTTTAGGCTACACCAGACATAATAATAAGAGAGACCGCCGTTGGTTCCTTCCCTTTGCCAGCTGGTTTCCGCGGCGCAACTTCATCGACTTTCCTTCAATACACGCACTCGCTACTCTCACACTCTCTCAGCCCTCTTTTTTTCATTTCTGTTCTACACTCCGCACTCTGCTTTTACAACAGCCGAATTTCCTTCATCCCCAACGTCTACTTGGCCCCTATTCGGGCCTTCGACGACTCATCTCGCTCCTTAATTCCTACTTCGCGGCCGCGCATTGCATCGGTACGTTTTTCTTCTCCCCCCCCCGCGCTCTGCTACATCACATCTCCTACCAGACGCCTTTGGACTCTTCGGACCAGATGGACCTCGCCGTTGTTCTTTACATTCTCTTGCGCCACGCTTTGCTTTTCACCCGCACAACATTGAAGCATTTTGGAGACCATGATGATGCGGTAGTTCATTCCAGCTTGGCAGCTTTTCCACCGTCGACGCCTGCTCCTCGGTGACCATTACAACGAAGCACCAACTCATAGTCTGGCAGTGCCGTGACGGGTGCATGTGCGCTTCGCGGATTCTCCCCCTTGTCGCGGGCAAGTGACTGCCATGGTGTTGTGTGGAGAATGGATTGGCCTTCATCTGACACCCTTATGTTGATACACTGACCCCCTGGTGCCCCCAAAACCTGTATGCCCTCGCACCTATTGTTCAATACGACCTCGCACAAGTCTGTCATCGTCGCGCGACTGGCAATTGTGTACTTTTGGTTCGGCCAGGACGAACCTCCAGTCCGACTTGCCCCTGCACAGGAAGTCTTGCTCCGCCGGACTGGCATGGCCCACCATGTGATACACTCAAGTCCCGTGCAAGAGCTAGGTCACTCAATAGGGCCGGATTTACTCCCAAGTTGCATCCATAGTTCCTCCCAAGATGCTTGACATGAAGCCAAGCGGCATCTCGCTGCCCCCCCCCC